CCAGAGTGAGCTTGCCCTTCCCCCAAACCAGGCTCAGTGTTCTCCAGCAGTGAACAGGCCCACCAGGTGCTACGGATCCACAAACGTGCCAACTCCTTCCTGGAGGAGCTCCGGCCCAGCAGCCTGGAGCGGGAGTGCATGGAGGAGATGTGTGACTTCGAGGAGGCCCAGGAGATTTTCAAAAATGTGGATCACACAGTAAGATCACCTGGCTGGGTCCAGAGGATGAGGCTGAGGGGTGGGCTGGTGGCCAGCTGGGGCTGGCTGGAGTAGGCTAGGGCTGACCACTGAGGCCCTCTTGGGAATCTGGAGGTGCAGTGGGTACCGGTCCCTTTTCTCCCAGCTTGGAACTGGGTGAGTGGAATGAATTGATACTGGCTCTATAGTCTTGGTCTGGGCACTGCAAGAAACAGAGCTCTGTGATAAACTCCAGGAGAGGAGAGTTTGGGGAAGCCTTAGGCTGAGGTGCCCACCCAACCCCACTGTAGGTAGTTCAGTCCCCCCTCCCCCTGCAGCTAGTAGCCCCCTCTGCCCCCCCCCCCGCCCCCACCAATTCTCTCTCTCTCTGTAACCAAAAGGCCACCATCTCTGCTTCCACCCATGAACCTACTGATCAGGGTGTATGACTGGACTCCCTTGGTGTCTGTCCACATACACTCATTCTGTGCCTCAGTTTATATTCTCAAGGGGCAAAATCTGCTTGCTCAAGGGATCTGAGGAAACAGTCTATGTCCTCTTTGGCCCCCAAGCCCTTTGATGGTGGCCCTAAGGTGGAAATGTCTTGATAAGAGAGCTAGGTTTCTGATACAAGGCTCAGACTTCTTCCATCCCCAAGCGCTCACCTCTGGGCTACTAGGACCTGGGAGTCGTGCCACCGCCGGGGGTCCCCTTCATGTTGCAGGGATGCACTTCCTGTTCAGGGTTTTCCAGACTGAGGGGGAGCTCTGGTCTTCTGGCCCTCAGCTGCCACCTCCTTGACTAGATCCCTGCTGCCCTTTTCCCCAAATTGTCTTCTCAGCAGACGCCAAAAAGATATTCTGCAGGTGCAATCGAGCACATCACATTCCTCCCGTGGCTCCCCCGCCTCACCCCAAAGTCTCTGGGCCAGCGGGGCAGAGCCAATGCTGCAGGGGGTGGGATTGATAGTGTAGGCATCAAGTAGTAAATCTCAGACTAGCAGCAGAAGCAGCAGGTTAGAAAGCAGACTGCTGCCCCAGACCTTCTGAACCAGCACTCTATGTCTCACCGATGAGATCCTAGCACTTGCTCAACTTTGGGAACACTGGAAAAAAAAGTCCAGGAAAGCAGTGAGAAGTGCAGGGCTAGAAGGAGGTAGAGCAGCCAGGTGGGGGTACTTGGGTCCCTTGCATTGCAGAGGCTGCTGTGGTAGCAGACAGTTGAGGCAGCAGGCGTCCAGCTGCTAGGGGAGGAGTGTTGTTCATGAGATGTGGGGCCGAGATGCCAACCTGGGGCAAGGAGGAGCTGGCCTTAGTCAGGGTGCAGCTGCACCAGCAGCTGGCGAAAAGCAGGGGTGACCCCTCTTTGGAAGACCTTCCCTCTCCTGCCCCCTTAGAGGTTGCCCGACCCCACCTGGGCCAGACCCAGGAGGGGCCCCGTGGGGTCCCGTGTACACACATGTGCCGACAGCCCCTGACAAGGCCTCTTCTCTCCACAGCTGGCCTTCTGGTCCAAGTACCTTGGTGAGTGCTCTCTAGACTCCTTGCTGCGGTGCCCACCGCCCCTCCTCCTTGAGGTATCTGGGCGGCTGCGGGGATGAGGAGGAGGCTGGCGCCACCGGTGACAACTCCGAAACCCCATGTCGCAGACGACGACCAGTGCAAGGTCCAGCCCCCGGAGCACCCGTGCGACAGTGCGTGCTGCGGCCACGGCACGTGCATCGACGGCATCGGCGGCTTTCGCTGTGACTGCGGCCAAGGCTGGGAGGGCCGCTTCTGCCTGCATGGTGAGGGGCGGACCTGGACTGGCAGTGCGCTGAGCTTGGGAGAGCAGCCGGG